CTATGTTTAATTTGCTGTTTCTACTTTAATTGCCATATCCACCCTAGGTCACACGGAAGTATAAAAGACAAATCTCGTAATTTTTACATAATTTTACAAATTGAATTCTCGATTATAGTGTATTTCACTTAACATTAACTTCAAAGGGTATTTTTATTTCGGGTGGGCGAGGATTTGGCAAGAGGACGTAAATCATTTGCTTATAAAAGGCTATACATTATTGCCTATAATAGAGGTAAATAGGTATGGAGATATTAATAAAAAATCGTGTGTCTGTATTACCCTTAGTTTGCGATCATATCCAGGCTGGGCACCTACTAGCCGCCCAAGTATATGTCATTCATCACACTATCTACTGCAATAGTTAGAGAGATTAAAACATTTATAGGCTCGTCATATAGTTTGAGTGACTACATTATTAGATTTAAAGTCCATTTTCCTGCTTTATTTTGCAATAATAATTTTGCTTTTCCTGTTTCTTCAAATTTAACTTACTCTTCAAATAGAATGATTGATTTGCGTGACAGACCTTAGTATAAAATTCCCAAGCCGTTATTTACTCAGTAATAGATTGTGCGTAGAATAAGGACAAAAGGATAAAATACTAAAAGTTTTAATCTACTAATATCATTATTAATAATAATAAATTTATACTTATCAAAGTAGTTGTTTTAGAATGATATCTTCGCTAAAAACAATCATATGTAAAAGATATCACAGATAAAATACAATTTTGACTGAATACTATTAGGCGGACATCTTAATAGTTTAAAAAATAAATTTAAGGTTCTTACCAATTTTATTGTTGTACATAGTTATTCTTATTTTCAAGAAAATAGAAGGAGAGAATCTAGGCAAGATTAAGATTTAGATCAGAACCACATTGATAGAAGCTTTGGCTTCCAAATTTCGACTTATTATAGAATGATTTATTCTAATACAAATTTACAGTTGATGTTATTAATTAGGCTCAAAAACGCTATTTGCTTTTAAATTCGCAAAAACTATGCTATTATCTTCACAAAATCATCTGAATGATAAGTATGCTTCGAAAAATTTTGCTTTTCTTCCAAAAGCTCTTTTTTTTCGCACTTATGAATAAATTTTCGTGATAATTCATTTCTTAGTAACTCTGCCGTAGTTCATAAACCTGCGATGTAAATAAAATGGTTCCTGAATTTTAAGTATTTTCTGTTCATAGATTTAATCCTCATATTAATAGCCAAAAATGAAAATTCACAATTTTAGATTAATTTCATTCTTAACCTCCTAGAGGAAAATAATTGCTTATTAAAAATTCAAAGCCTACTCTACATTGCAACAGGTAAACTCAATATTCTCATGTTGTAACGATAAGTGAATAAATTCAAGACAGTAAGGCCATAGCAATTTTTAGTTTTATAAGGCTTGGGGATGCATGTTTATCCTTGATATACTGATAATTATGCCCATATCAAAGCAAAATATTATTATATTATTATATTATTATATTATATTATATTATATTATATTATATTATATTATATTATATTATATTATATTATATTATATTATATTATTCTATTATATAATGATGCTAACACAAAAACAATTTTCCAGTTGAAATTAAGCTTAATAGGGTTAAAAGAATGTGATGCCTATGATAAATCTTTTTCATTTTATAATAATTCGTAAGTATTATATTGTTAAAAAACAAATATAAATTCCAAACAAATTGGTAAGAAGTCCAAGTTAAGCAATTTTCAATACATAAAGTAGCACAAGCTGGTATAAAATTATCAAGACAACAATTATTGATATTGGAAAATTTACCAGCCAGATAAATGTATAAAAGTTAAATGCATTAAAAATTAAAAATTATAAGAACTTACTTTAATTTTAGGATTACGCTTAATTTTATAAAATAGAGATATGATTTTAAAATAAAATTTCCCTCTAAAATTATCATAATTAGTTCATCAAATGATTAATCCTTTATAGCATTAATGGGATATTTATAAACAAATGAATGCAAATATTGTATTTCCTGTTAGAATACCCACACAGTAGATTTATGGGCTAACTTTAGAACATACAGTAAGTATGTGAATAAAGGTACCAAAATTCTTAAGTGCTTCGATTACACTTTTCCCCTTTTATGAGAAGTGATTGCTTAAATCAAAAAGATTATAAAATGCCCTTTTTAACACAAATCATTGCTTTTGCTAGAAGTATGTAATGAAACTCATTAATGAGCTCTTATTCAGCCCAGGACTTTTAAGGTGATTTAAGAACTGGGTTAAATTTTTTTGCTGCCAGATGAATAGATTTATAATGCTATTCCCCAACCTCCATAAAGCCTTATACATTTATTCATTTTGACGAGCCTCCAAAATTGAAAAATCCTATCAGTAAATTCTTTTGTAAAGCTCTAACAATATAAATATGAAGTCAATTAAAAGAACCCAAAATCATTTTACACCTAGAGATTATTTGCAATAATTGTCAAAAACTAAGGATTTTATATTTTCGTTATAAGAGTTTGAAAAAACATTATTGCATGTATATTTTAAATAAGCTGGCCCTAATAAATCACGATTTTATCAAAGTACTTCCGGAAATATAAATTAAATCTTAAAATAATGTTTAAACTTCAGAAAAGGCACTAGTATCTTTATAATCTATAGTGATTCATCTCACATATGAAGCAGTACCAAGAAAAGTGAGAATAAGTTTTTATTAGAATTATGAGATGTATTCACAATATTTTGCTTAAGGTGATTAAGGATTGGTAGTAGAATTTTCCCACAAAGATATGAGTAGATCTGACGTTTCCATTGTATTTCCTATACCTTGTTTTCCAAAAATTTGTTCTCATCCACGGTGGACTGCAGTTTTGACCTCATAATGCGTTTTATAAACAACCATACGGAAGTAAAACAGCTCTACTCATATCATTGTGGAAAAATTCTACTACCAGTTCTTTATCACCTTGAACGAAATAGGATGAATACACCATTATATTACTGATTTATTGGTAGTCTCGAAACTCCTCTTACATGCGAAAATAGAATTATGAGATTTATTGATAAGAGTTACAAGGATTTGTTTGATTTATCTGTCATGTGAATAAAATTATTTTTTTCATATTTTAGCATTGACTTAAATATTATATCCAATTTTCTGCAAACTTTGTAGGATACTATTTATATTACTTTGTATTTCCCGAATTTATTTATTTTTAAAATAGTCATGCCTGTTCTTAATGCTATTTGAGATTTAGATATTCTTTATGATGTGTACGTTGAACTTTTCTAGCAAATGGCTTTCATATAAATCCGATATATTCATTCATGTACTCTTTAGGCATCAAGACTATTATATTTAGATGGAGTATGCTTCAAAAATTCAAGTAAATCTATCATAACAGCAGTATTAATCGTAGGTCGCTTAGCGTGATAAAGGGCAGATAGTTGAATTTTTCCACAATGATATGAGTAAGCCCAAAGACTTTTATGAATTCCACCTAGCCTTGCTTCCGAAAAGGTATTCTCTTTCAGGATGAACTGCAATTCCGACTAAGCCTGGGTCACATTATAACCACCAACGTAAATCGAGCGAGAATAGTGCAGCCTACAACCTTGATATGTTTACTCAACGCCACACCTCCCTATGTGCATGTGAACTCAAGGGCAGAAATGAATTTAAATAGTGGAATTATCTATGAAGCAAACATTTGTTTGCTATTTTTTGTTTTATATACAGTATATTCCATACTGCCAGCAGATCGAATATAAGAACTATATTCATTCTATTTCGTTTAGGGTGATAAAAAGCTGATAGTTTAATTTCACCACAATGATATGAGTAGACCATACTTGCTTCCAAACAAACTGAAGTTTACTACAGTTTCGACTTTAACTTGGTCTCATCAGCACCCCCAGCTAGTTTTCAATCGTGGCTGTGTGGCATATAATGTCGACACATTGACCACTACTATTATACTCAACTGTATTACGTATAAGGTTGTATAAAGTTGATTTTAATTGCAGATAGGAAATTGCCTTATCGACAATCATGGGGGCATGGTATCATGGCAAAATTGTAGACTGCATTTCCAAGGTAAGATTCCTATTTTGGGTGCAAATGTGACCCAGCCGAGATCGGAATTTCAATGTACTCTGGATGATAATAACATTTGGGAAGTAAGACTAAATTAAAGTTAATGGTTTCATGAGGCCTACTTTTATTAATGTGAGAGAATTTATTCATAAGGACTTAATCAACCTAAGAGACTAAGATGTATACCGCCATTACTAAGAATATTGGCTTGCTGCCACATAATATTTAACATAAAAATGCAATTTATTTTATATAAACCATCTGACTTCTTGTTTATAATAGACTATTCATCGAGGAATATACCAAAGAGAGTAATGATGAATCAAGTAATTCATTGAAAAAATTGGCTTTCTAGCCTCTTTTGTTCACTCATAACTGTGCATCATGGAGGAGTCCGAATGGCTTGTATCACGCTTCCTATTTGCCTGCAATGATACCGGCTTCCAAGAACAGTCTCTTCACCACAATTCTTCCAACGCTTTTCCAGCACTACAGTTCGCTTCAGAGCTTTTCTACGCGCACAAAAGTACTATCGGTCGGAAATTTGCAGAAAAAGCCCTGCGAATACACGAATCAAGGTTTCCAGAGATTACACACCATACCGTCAGTGGATTACTCCCAGAAGTTCCCAATGTAGATCATCTTGAGTTAATTGCAGCACGGCTGCTGCACTCAGTATGTGGACCCTACCCAGAAACATCAACTGATTATCTTTCAGAGCTGATCCAAACGCGTCTTATTCCTGTCATCATCTTGCTTGTATTTATTCTAAACTCTGCAATCTGCTGCGTGCTCACACGACGTCATATGCGCACCCCAATATACTCCATACTGCTTTCCATTGCTGTTGCCGAGTTATTTACTGGACTTCTGCCATTGCCCATGTATCTAGGACGCAGTTTCATCGGTGGTACAGTCTGGTGGGAGAGAATGGTGC